TTATTCTTTATCTTAAGTTTTTCAAGAATTACTGGTGATCCAAAATTAAGTAAGAAAGATCTGAGGAGTGCGATTGGAAGCCAGGCCGGGCTGGCTTTCATCTCCATGAATTACTCAGAAAAAGCCCAAAGTGACTCAAGTGGTAGAGCACTAGCCTTGAGCATAAACAGTCTGAGTTCAAGCCCCAGGGCCTGGCAGGAAAAAGAAAAATACATTCCAAGTGTAACCCTCACAGTCTTCTGCCCTTAAACTAGACTGTGTAAACCTTAGGGGAATAATTGTGAACAGAATGGAAGCAAGAGATGAGAGCTACATTTCATTTCCCTTCACACTCAAACAAAGCTAATGTGTGAAGATTTGGAGGCGGGAGCTCCAATTTCTGAATTCTCAACTGAAAATGCCTGCTTTTTGTATTCTTTGGAAACTGATGTCTATTGTAGCACTTTGACCTAGTCATTCATTGTGAGTACTTTAATTAGTATTGAGTAGACGTGGCCTGGCAGGAACCTAAGTATCTCTAATTCCCGTGCTCCAGTGCCTGTTTAAGGACAATATCAACTTGAAGTTTCTTCTAAGTTTTCTACTTTGCCACTTGCTAGGATAATGTTTTTCATATCCTGTTATCTTAAATCTTGTTTCTCACATGACAAGTCTTTTATATTGTCTTGAATAGAAAACTTTTTTCTAAAATCATTTATAATTTGTCTAAGAAAATGCAATTTATTCTCAAAACATCTGACTTTTATTAGCATTACACTACAATTCTGATTTATTATTATATTTGTGTTCCTTTAATGAAGCTTTTAACTTTGGTTCCAAAAATTTCTTTTTTGCTCTCTGGAGAATATAAGACAATGAATTAAATGAATTTGAAATTAACATTGCTGGAGTGCTCCTCTACAGCCAAATATCATTTCCCCTCAACACTGCCTTTATGGGAATGATCTGCAATGCTGTGAGATGTAATTCTTTAACCACAGCCTAATAAAAAGAATATCATTATATGAATGCACAGTTGGCTTTCCTTTCAATAAAATATTATGTTTTGAAATTGACTTACGAGTCAAAAATGTGTACCTTGATTTGTGTGTTGAAATGAGGACAGGGCACCGGGTGCAGCATCTATTTTTCAAAACATAACCTAGCCACCTAATGAGTTGTTCAGAGGAACATCAATCTTTGTAGCTGCCAGACGTCCTTACTTTCCTTCAGATGAACTGGCATAATGCTGACTTGGCTTTTGTGCAGACACAAATGTTGTCTTTCCTTGGGGAAAAAGTTTATTGGCATTTGCTTGTAGCAGGTTGAAGAATAACTCTTGTCTGAAAGATAGCCCTTTTTCTCACCCATTCAAAAGCCATCCTGGTCCCTGTTGTTCCCTCTGAGGGTGATGGAACGAAAAGCAGATCATATTTTCAGGGAAGATAAAGCACAGAAAAATTTCTGTAAATCTCAGTGAAAAAGACAGCTTAAATTGTTTCTAAGGGATGATTTTAAGGAAATTTGTTGTGATGTATATTATTTCTTTCAACTTTGCATACATATTTTGCAAATCCATGTCTGGATAATTCAGGAGCCTACTCTTGCCTACTTTTGTCTTCAAACTTCTGTCTTCAACACTCAGTTCCAGAAAGCACATAAAAATGTGTCTCATTATCATGCCTGGCCATTACAATAAATTTTATTCATGTTAGGTTTAAGATATACAACACTTTCCTTTCGGCACAAGCTATCACACAAAATTAGCTCCATCTATCTTCAAAAATTCTGTCATCCAGAGAATGTGAACAAAGGGACCAATAAATAGAAACCTCTACCTTTAAAGGATTGAAAATATACCAAAGAAGTAAACATGAACACTTAAGCAGTACAAAGCTGTATTGTTTTAATTGTGTTACAATTGTGGCTCTGTAATTGATTAACTGCTTTTTCTGTGTTTGTTTAACTTTCACATACTTTCGGTTTTTAACCTGTGAATAGACCTAATGAAACTTATTCCCATAGCCTGGTTGTGTAACACATATGGTAATTTTTCAAGTGTATTTCATAAAATACTTTAGAAACTATTATAACCTAATGAGTGTTTCATGATAATAAAATAAAAGATTACAAGGACACAAGGAAGAAAACCCAAAAGAGTTATCTACTTGTATTTCCTGAAGGGTTATAGAAAAAAGTCTACACAGAAGGCTACATTGCAACTTGTTCTCCAAGACAATATAGAGAAAGAAATGAGTGCCTCTAAATAGAGATACAGGTGGACCCATTGCAACAATGAGATGTACAAGTCGTTATGTCAAAAACAAACTTTATAACTTTGGTGCGGGGTGGGGGGGGATGCGGGGGGAGAATGGGAAGGGATGAGAAGGGGAAACAAAGGAGGAGGCTACAATGCTTGATAAGAAATGTACTCATTATCTTGCCCATGTAATTATAACCCCTCTGCACAGTATTTTTACAATAAAAAATATTTAAAAAAGGCTAGCATTCTCAATAAAAAGAAGGAAGTCAAATGGTGTCTGAAAAAACAGTTAATGATTCTGAGAGACAGGATGACCATTATATTGACAAAGAATGAATAAAACACTATAGTTCTTCCAAAGTCTACATTCCCAGTGACCTTCAGGAAGTCTTGTTTCCTCTTAACATATCAGTAGTGCTCCATGAACACATAATTACAAAATAAAAGAAATAAAACTAAGGTGATAAATATTTGGCAACTGATTTGCAAAAAGTAACATAAGGAATCCTTAGGATCACAATGTTAAGCAGAAAGAATTCAGAATAAATTCACTGTTTGCTTTAATGTTCAAATAAGAAAAATTTATGAACAAATAAAACTGGCTAAATGGACTTGCTCTTTCCTGTGATACCTGGGTGTGAATATTACAGTGTTATTGTTTCCCAGAAATTATGGGTATCTGTTCCTTCTCTTATATTTCCCTTTAATACTTAGAAGGATCTGGAGAGTAACATCCTGAACAAACAATCATACTTAGTTGAACGAGATGATTTTTTGATTCATGTCATGATCATGTCTTGATCTCACAGTATATTCTAGAAAAGGTTATCTGTAAACAGACTGATTGAAGTTATAGTAGGATCTGAGAGCACTGGACTACCATTTTCAAATTAGCACTAACTCAAACAGAGGAGAATACCCTGAAGTGAGAGCTGTAAAATGTCCATTCTGAGTATTAGCTCTTTGAACGTCAGCAGTTCTCAAGAAAATTTAAGAACACAATTTCCCCAGGTAGCGCTTAGGAAAACCAATTTTAGTCTGTGAATCAGTGTACTTACCAAAAGATTTATAAATATAAACGTTTCAAATATAGAAACCACTTTTTATATTGTGTTTTCTGTTCAAGCCATATTATTAATACTCCATTTTCTTATAACTATCTCCCTTTAGATTGTCAATTCAAAATGTGTTCTTTGACAAATACATGACATGTTTAGGGAAGGCTTATTTTACCTGAGCACCAAGACATACACTTTATTGATTCTTCAACAAATGGTGTTAGGTAAACCAACCTCAGAAAAACAAATGATACATATTTTCTCTCATATGTGGAAGTTCGATCTAAAACAACTGGGCATAACATCTTATGCAGGTTTCTACTTACACACAAACATACTGACTAAAGGAGTTTACACTTAGGGGATGAACCCACAGGAATTACTCCTCTGATTTCCTAAAATACTACCTACCAAAACAAATTCCAGAAAATGGAAAAATGGTTTTGTTTTTGTTGTTGTTATTGTAACTTTTGGGTTTTTTCCTGTTATTGATGATCACTTTATTTATTTTATTTTATTTTTTTGGTAGTCATGGGGCTTGAACGCTGGGCCTGAGCACTATCCCTCAGCTCTTCAGTTCAAGTCTAGAGCTCTACCACTTGAAGCACAGCACTACTTCTGGTTTTCTGATGGTTTACTAGTGAAAAGAGTTTCATGGATTTTCCTGCTTGGGCTGGATTTGATCTGCAATCCTCAGCCTCCTGTGTAGCTTGGATTACAGGCATAAACCACTGGCACTTGGCTTGTTGATCACTTTTTTAAAATCTTTTTCCTTTATTTTGTTTTGAGGAAAGGGAGACACAGGAATAGAGGGTCCAAGGAAGGGTGAATTAAAGAAGTCATAGTATTCAATATACAATATGTAAAAAAATGAATTAAGGAATTTAAAGACAGGGACAGAAGTGGGAAATGTCGACAATGATGAAAGAGGTGTCATTGTCCCAGAAGCATTTACACTTCGTCCTTGACTAATGGAATAATTATCCCTCTGTACAACCCTTGCACAATAACAAGAATGTGGTAAATATTGAAAATACCAGTATGAGAATGAAGTGAAATGGATTTTGTGGTCTGAACATTAAAGGAAAAAAACACTAATAGAAAACTTGATATCTGGTGTTTGTAAACATCATATATTTGAAGTTGGCAACACTACCCCAAATGTAGAACCTAATGTTCTCTTTTCAATTGATATGTTTAAACAAAGCAAAAAAATTATGAAATTATTATTTTCCAATTTTCTTGTTAACATGACCAGACACAATTCTTACCTTTCCATGAGTCTTACACTTTAGCATTATTTGAACTTAACAAACTTGTTTACAAGTTTCCTCACATTGCAGATGTGTTCTAATTGTCCTTTCAGTCCAGATGAGACCAGTTTAGTACTCCAGTATTGATGCCTATATCTGCATCAAATTCTTGTAATTTTTTAATTGATCATGTTTTAATTATGGGCTAAAAATGTCTAAGACAGTAAGCCTGAATTAGAAAAATTAAGATTCCAAATACATTGCTAGAGAATTGCACAATGGAGGGATGAGGGAGTTAATGAAAATTTTTCTCTACATACAACATGATCATTAGCAAACTAGTAAATCTTAATTGGAAAGATAAGGCAAAAATAGTAAAACCACACTTCTCCTATAAAAAAGTTACAGACTATCTTCTGGTAAGGAGAGCTATCATACATAAAAAAGAAAGAAGATGTGATCACTCTGTTGCACACCCAGGAGATCTAGGAAATTGAATCTTAGAATGATTTAGTCATCTTCTTCTTCTCCATCATCCTCAGCATCTTGTTTTCTCTTCTTTCCATAAAAGTTGTCTTCTTCCTCCTCTTCTTCCCCTTCTTCAACATAGTCATCATTATCTTCTTCATCCTGAATTTCTTTTTTCATTAAGTATGGAAGGCCCACTTCCTCTTCTTCCTCTCCCAATTATGAATCTGCTTCGTCTTCATCTTCCTCTTCTTCCTCCTCCTCCTCATATCCTTCACATAGACCAGTTTCATCTTCATCTTCATCTTCATCCTCATCATCTTCCTCTTCCGAGTCTGGTGCTTCCTTCACCTCCTGATCAAATCCATCTAAGTATGTGATTTGCTGCAACAGCTCAAAAATACTTTCTCTGTAATCTTCCAGGTTTGTGATCTCACAGTTGAACAAGTCAAGACTTTTCAAATTTTTAAGATTTTTCAGAGCTTCTACAGTACTGAGGTCTTTGATTTTGTTTCCACTCAGATTGAGGTAAGTAAGATTTGGACATTTCTCTGCCAGGACTTCCAAACCTACAGAAATTATATTGTCACCAAGTTCCAACTTTAAAGTTTATTCAAGCTAGGGAGCCGGGCCAGTGAACTTAATTTCACATTAGCCATACTCAGAAACTCTAGTTCCTTAAAAGTGTCATTCAGGCCTTCAATTTCCCCATTGACACACAGGCAATTATCAAGGACTAACTCTGTTACCTCCTCCGGGGCTCTGTTCCATAATTCTAGACTAATCCTCTTCTTCATCTCCATGTCCTCCTGCTTTTCTGCTGCTACTCTTCTCCTTCATCCCCTTTTCCAGTACCCCCAAACCTAAAAAAAATTATTTTTAAGATTTAGAAATGAATGAAAAGAAAAGCAGATACAAACGCCCACAACCACCAAATAGGTGTAGAGGAGAAAGAAAAGAATAGTAAATGGAGTCCAAGGAGTTAGGACTCTTAACTTGGCTGCCCCCACCTCCTTGTCCACACACCCGTGCCCGCGCGCACACACGTGCACGCACTCACACACAACACACACCCTTGTAAATTTTTTTTATTTTCTGGATTTAAATAAGCTTTGCTTTCTACTCAACAACCTCATTAACCATTTCCACTTTTAAAAAATTTATTGTCAAGGTGTACAGTTACACAGGTAAGGTAGTGAGTACATTTCTTCGAATTTGTTACCCCTCCCTCATTTTTCTCCCGTTTTCCATCCCTCTAACCCCCACCAAGTTGTAAAGATCATTTCCAACATAGTGTCTTATGAGTATCACTGTTGCATCGGTTTGCCCCTTGTCCTTTGTCTCACCTTTGTTTTGTTCCCCTTCCCTTCCCTAATCCAGATATACAATACCCAAGGTACCAAAAACAAATACAGTGACAACAGGGGATAAAGAATAGGGAGAAAAAACACACACAAAAATTACCTAATACATTAAAAATAACAACAAAATTAAAAATCTTGTGTCCATATCTTGGAGTTCATTTTAATTATCATAATCTAATATGGTCAAATGCACATAGCTATTGAGCTGTTCTGCTCATCTGCTAGTATTATTCCAGAAATTCACTAATTATTACAATTTTCAACATCTATTGTCACTGTCTCAATATTATTTATAGAATGCTAACTACTTTATCTTCAGCACTTTCAGATAAAGGAATAGGAGCAGGTAAATTTTTAGTCCTATTGTCAGTCCATTTAAACATATCCTTAGTTTGATAAAAAGTATTTCTGAAAAGAAGTAAAAGGTAATAGTCTCAGAAACTTTGGTAATCCCATAGTTTCATAAATTGTTCTACAAGGAATGCTTTAGGAATTTTTTGTACTTATAAACTTGCTTGGAGTTATTTGAAAATATTTTTTATAAATTAGTGAAATGACAATTTTTAAATTTATTTATTGTGAAAATACAGTACAGAAGGGTTATAATTACATGGACAAGGTAATGAGTACATTTCTTATCAAGCATTGTTGCCTCCTCCTTTGTTTCCCCTTCCCATCTCCCCCCTCCCCCTTCTCCCCTCTCTCTCCACCCAAAAGCTGTAAAGTTCATTTTTTTTTTTTTTGGTCTGGTTGTGGGGCTTGAACTCTGGGCCTGAGCATTGTCCCTCAGCTCTTCAGCTCAAGACTAGCGCTCTACCTCTTGAGCCATAGCACCACTTCCGGATTTTTTCTTTTTGTTTATGTGGTGCTGAGGAATCGAAGCCAGGGGCCTCAGGCATTCAAGGCAAGCGCTCTACCACTGAGCCACCTTCCCAGCCCCTAAAGTTCATTTTTCGACATAGCAACTTGTACATCACATTGTTGCAATGTGTCCACTTGTGTCCCTATTTAAACAATTTGTTCTTTCTCTTCCCCTCCACAAATTATACCAACATCATATACAGTGAAAGCAGGGGTAATACCGTGGGGGAGGGACATACAAAGCAACAAAGAAATCATCTTATAAATATGTTAGAAACAATCTCAAGAAAGAAAAAAATTGGAGTCCATATCTTGGGTTTCATTTCACCTAACAACAACTTACCTGACCGTTTATGCTTGTCTCAGACATATACTAGTAATTGCAAATAAGAGAAACCAAGGGATATATGTTTCTTTGGGCCTGGCTTACTTCACTTAATATAATTTTTTCCAAGTCTTTACATTTCCTAACAAATGGGGCAATGGCATTCTTTCAGATGGAGGCATAGAATTCCATTGTGTATATATACCACAATTTCTTGATATATTCATCTACTGAGGGGCATGTGGGTTGGTTTCATATCTTAGCTATGGTAAATAATGCTGCAATAAACATAGTTGTGCTGGTAGCTTTAGTGTGGTCTTGTTTGTAAACATTTGGGTAAATGCCCAAAAGTGGGACTGCTGGGTCATAGGGGAGCTCTATGAAGACTTTTGAGGAACCTCCATACTACTTTCCGAAGTGGTTAAACAAGTTTACATTCCCAGCAACAATGAAGTAAGGTTCCCTTCTGTCCACATCCCCTCCAGCATCTGTTGTTATCAGATTTCTTGATTTTTGCCATTCTAACTGCGGTGAGGTGGTATCTCAATGTTGTTTTGATTTGTATTTCTTCTATGGCTAGGGAGGTTGAGCATTTCTTCATGTGTCTATTGGCCATCCTTCTTTCTTCTTCAGAGAAGTTTCTCTTTAGGTCATTAGCCCACTTATTTATTGGGCAGTTGTTTCTTTGAGGATTTGTTGTTGGAGGATTTAATTTTTTGAGTTCCAAGTATATTTTAGACATAAGACCCTTGTCCATTGTGTGGCTAGTGAAGATCTTCTCCCAATCCATGGGCTTTCTATTGATCTTGCTAGCTATGTCCTTTGCCATGCAGAAGCTCTGCAACTTCATGCAATCCCATTTGTCCAACCTTTCTTTGATTTGTTGTGTTTCCGGGTCTCTATTAAGAAAATTTCGGCCCGTACCAAGGAAACCTAGGGTTTCTCCTATTCCATCCTGTAATGTTTTCAGAGTGTCTGCTTTGACTCCGAGGTCTTTGATCCGTTTGGAGATGATTCTGGTGCAGGGTAATATATAAGGATCTAGCTTTAGTTTTCTACATGTAGTTAACCAATTTTGCCAGCACCATTTACTGAAGAGGCTGTCTTTCTTCCATTCTATGTTTTTAGCTCCCTTATCGAAGATTAGATGGCTATAGGTCTGTGGGTTCATTTCTGGATTTTCAATTCTATTCTTGAGGTCTGTTCTTGTACCAGTACCAAGCTGTTTTGATTACTATGGCTTTATAGTAGAGTTTGAAATTTGGTATTGATATTCCTCCAGCGGTGTTCTTTCCATTGAGGAGCGTTTTTGCTATTCGGGGTCTTTTATTGTTCCATATGAATTTTTGGATTGCCTCTTCTATTTCCTTGAAAAATGAGGTTGGACTTTTGATAGGTATGGAATTGAATTTGTAGATAGCCTTGGGAAGTATTGCCATTTTCACGATGTTAATCTTTCCAATCCAGGAGCATGGGAGTTTTTCCCATTTTCTAAGTTCTGTTTTGATTTCCTTTTTCAAGTTTTTAAAGTTTTCATCATAGAGGTCCTTCACTTCTTTGGTTAAGTTAATTCCTAGGTATTTTATTTTTTGTGGGGCTATTACAAATGGAGTTGCTTTCCTAATTTCAGCCCCACTTTTCTCATTGTTGCCGTACAGAAAAGCCATTGATTTGGGGGAGTTAATTTTATACCCTGCTACTTTGCCAAAGTTTTGAATCAGCTTGAGTAATTTGGAAGTGGAGTCTATGGGATTCTTTAAGTACAAGATCATGTCATCTGCAAAGAGGGAGAGTTTTATTTCTTCTTTCCCTATTTGGATCCCCTTTATGTCTGCATCTTGTCTTATTTGCAACACTTTCTTGTCTAGGCTGGATTTGAACAACAATCCTCAGATCTCCCCCTCTTTAGTAGGTAAGATTACTGGTGTGAGCCATAGGCACCTGAGATAATTTTATATCTTTCCACTTTGCCAAGTTTTGGATCAGCTCATATAACTTGGGTGAGAAATTTGTAGGGTACATTAAATACATGATCCTATCATTTGCAAAAAGGGATAGTCCTCCCCCTATTTTGTTCCCCTTTAAGTTTCTCTCTTGTCTTATTGTTCTTCTTAGGAATTCCAGTACCTTATTGAAGAGAAGTGGAGAGAGTCAACATCCCTATCTTATTCCTGATTTTACATGAAATGCTTTAAACTTTTCCCCATTAAGTATATTGCTGACTTTAAGTTTGTCATTGCAGCCTGTATTATATTGAGGGAAGTTCCATGGATTCCTAGCTTCTCCAGGCCTTTTATCATAAAGGGGTATTGAATCTTCTCAAATACTTTCTCTGCATCACTTGTGATAACCATGTTGTTCTTGTTCTTGCTTCTGTTGATGTATTGAATAACACTCACTGGCTAACATATAGTGACCCATATTTGCATCCTTGAAATGAATCTCATTTGATGAGATGATTTTTATACAAATGTTTTTTTAAAGGAAGGACTATAGAAATGTTTATTAGAAAAGAAAAATTACAAAGAGCACATGGCAACAAGGGTTCAGCCTATCTCTGCAACTTGGCTGTCTTCTTTCATATCTATTAATGAGACTTTTTTCAAGTTAGTTTCAGTAAGAAGTATAAAAGTGTCAAGGAAAAAAGATACCCAAATTTTCATCATTACCCAAGCAGATATTCCCATCTGACTATATAAATTACATTAACATTGTCAACTATCTTTCCAAGACATACTAATAGAAAAATTGTTTTCATAGATTGAATTAAAATTCTATACTAAAACTTATGAAATCAAGTGTGTTCGTGTGCATGTGCACACAAACATGTACACATACCATATACATGGTTAAAGTCAATTAAAAATTTACATTAGAGAAGTCTTCAGAGTATTTTTTTGAAACAATTCTTCTATTTTTCTCCCTCTTAATTCCAATAAAGCTCATAAAATTTTGAAGTGCTATTTTTTAAATACTAAAATAATTATAAACCTTACTTTGCTCACATGCTATTATCAGGATCAAATAGAATAATAAATTTATCAATTCTCCATTGATTGAAATATTTTATGACCTGTTATTAACAGTACCATGAAAGATGTGCTGCTTGTGTCCAAATGTTGTTCAAAAATATGACTAATATTAGTTCTCCATACCCCTTTGTGAATTTATGCTTTTACTTTCTTTACTTTCAGTTGTCAGTAATGTGTTCTGGTTTTCAAATTCCAATGTTATCTTGACTCTAACGTGAAGA